TGTATTGGTATCAGATGAATATCAGTTACATCTCTAATTATTTTATATATACATAAGGGGATCCAAAAAAATCCCCCCGGATTTTTTTGTATAAAAACTTTATTTATTAACTCTTTTACAAAATTCCTTCAGTCACCTTTAAAGTACTCTCCATTAGATGTGATGCACTTGTAAAGTCTTTTTCCCCACTGTTTGAAGCATCTCTGGAACTCTTCAACCTTGATATCATCCAGTGCCCTTAGAGAAGTTGTTTTTACCGTCTCCATATCATTAAAATGCTTCCCTTTTAGATATTTCTTCATTCTCGGAAACAGAAAAAAGTCACATGGGTCTGGTGAATACGGAGGGTGGAGAACGACAGGCCATCCCCAAGAGGCCAAACAGTGGGTCACTCATAAGACCGTGTGCGCGGGGGTGTTGTTGTGATGAAAGAACTAGTCACCTGATTGCCAAAGTTCTGGGCATTTCCTTCGCACATCCTCTCGCAGATGTCTTAAAACTTTTTTGGCAGATTTTTTTCAATGTTTTCATCATTTCGAGATGTTGAAGGACGCTCAGAACTTTGCAGATGGAACAAAATAACAGTAAGAGAAACACAACACTATGCTCAAATGTAAACCTACAAAGTGACGCAGTCTGCACAGCTGTTTCAAGAAGGTCTCTACTAAACCCATCTAATGGGAGAACTCTCTACTACATATATAAATGGCAGCATGCTCTCAGTTCGGTTTTTTTTGGGTCCCCCCTCGTATAATTTTAAAATATCACTGCATTTCAATAGTCTCTCTAGCTTTGCCATTTAAGATAAATACACATGATTAAAAAATTCAATAATATTTGACTGTCATCTCTAAAATGAAAGATCATATTAACAAAATTTACTCAATATTTAGATTATTAAAAAAATGTAGATCAAAATCTTCAATAATATGGCTATTAAAACTGACATCTAAATAATCATTAATATACTACATTAAATAATTATCCAATTTAAATCAAGGATATTCTTATAAAATGTAATATAAAAGCTGCTAAATGGAAACTATATTCCAGCAGCTTATTCAAATATATGCTTTTTATAAAAATATAAAATGACTATTCAGAATTTGCCTTTACATATTATTTTGGTTAGTTATATCGCTCCCCCACATGGGCGTTTTTCCATGTTGAGTGGGCAATATGTTAGTAACAATTTATATTTTGGGGGGTTAAAACAATTTTCTGGGCAATATAGTAAAACATTATATTAAGAATAATTAGATATTTTATTTGTTATATTGTACAATAATTAAACAAATAGCATTATACTAGTCACTAGTCTATTCAATGCAGTACAAATTTGGCATTAGTCTTGGTCCTCGGCATCGGAATTTTGAAGAGAAGGGGCAATAATAGGTAACAGTTTTATTGAAGGGGGCTGACGATTCATTAGAGGCTGAGAAACACTGGTTTAAATGGTAAATTAACTATAAATGACTTTCATATCACATGGCACTTTTTTGATATAATGTAGTTCTGAAGAAGGTACTACTGGACAGTATATGAAGCATTCACTTAATGTTTTATTTAAATGCTCTACTTTGCGGAACTGGATACTATTTCATAATTTCTGTCATAATTAGAATCATTCATGTAAACTGTTTCTCATTTTATTTTATACATCCTAATTAATTTCTTAGTTTTAATAAAATATTTAAAATCAACTTACTTTCACATCATCTAAAATTACTAATGGTCCATTCACACCAGTAACTGTTTTGTAAGCTATAATAAATTATAAAAATATGATTTTAGTTTACAATTAAAAAGTAACTAAAATATTTATATAAATTTATTAAATGTTAATAAATATTAAAACTTATAAAGTTAATGAAAGTCTATTAATCATCATAAATTCTGTAGCAAACAATAAAATATAGCACTTTAAAATCAAAACACTAATATTGATTCAGGCTATGGCAGTTAATATGGCAGTTTAGGTTCTAGATCATCACCATAAGGCAAATATAAACTTAAAACAAATTATAGACGTTTTACATGTCAGTGCATTTAAAAGCATTAAAAACATGGCACTAGGTTTAAAAAACAAATGCAAAAAATAATTTTTAAAAAATCTGAAAATCACGCCTAAGAGCAAGATGAGTATCAAAAATAACAACAGTTAAATGTAATTAAAAAGTACTATATTAATGCCTTAAATTAAGTTATTGATTATAATCAAGTCTTGTAATTTATTCTTAAAAAATTACACATTTAATTTTAGCTTATTATCTAAATACTGTATTTACTTGTGAATAAGACAATTTTACATATAGGACGAGGTGTGACTTTAAAAATCAAATAAAGAAAATTAGATTTATTAATACAATTCTAATTTCATTTCATTCATTTAATCACAAATAAAATATCAAATGCATGTAAATGCACACACTGTCACACAAAAATTACTGGCATTTCAAATTTCAAGGAAAAATCTTGTAAAATCAACAACACAATTTGTTCATGTAAAAGTTGGACAATCAGGAACTTTTTATTTGCCAATTCTTAACAGTCGAATGCACTCTCCACTGATTACACTTATGAATTAGTTCAAATTCTGATTTCCAAATAATCATCTGTTTTCACATGGGAATGGATTAAAACTTATATTGAGCTCCCATGCGATTTTGGAATTTCAATTTGAAATTTAATTCAAAAGATTAGCTTTTCTTATTGATATTCATCTTTACTCTTGACAATACACAAGAATGATTCAAATGATCTACATAAAATACTTTGGTTTTAAACACCAGAGAGTGAGCATCTGGTAAAAAAATGCAAATACACAGTTCAAAAACATTATTGCAAAAATGCAAAGAATCCTTTGCTTGTGCATATAGGACAACTTAGGTTTTTGAAGCAATGAAAAATAAAAACCTCATCTTATATGTGAGTAAATACAGTATATTCCAGCAACAACAATCATTCAATTTCTTCTATAACTAGCTTGGTGAATATGAAACAAACTGGACAAAAGAAATTTTGTAATATTTAGAGTCATAAAGATAAATATAACNCATCAGCTACTAGCAAAAAATGTAACAAAATAATAAACTAAATATAATTCTTATAAAAAATATATATATATTATATTCACTTAATTACTGCAACAATGATATAGAGAAAAATAGACTTGCTATATCATTACTGCGACAGATAGCACATATATCTTACCTGCATGGAATTGAAAGTGTTACCCTGTAAAAAGTCTAAGTATTTAATTTTCCACATCTAATGACTAGTTTTTTCATTTCTAAATGGTACTTTCTTAATTCTAATAAGCACCCTCCAGTAGCCAAGTGCATAAAACCACCAAATTCTAGTAGTTAGTCATGGGTTCAGGCATGGCCACACATTTTCTGGATTTCTTCACATTAGTAACTCCTAAATAGGGTCCAGCTTCCCATAAAAGTCTTCCTGGGATGTATCCCCTTGGCAGATCGTGCACACGTCATGTTGCTGTAACCAAATAAGCCAAACTGATTCTAACAAGCAATTATTTATTGTGATGTCTTCACAATGCTGGACTGCAATTTTTTGTCACAGTGTTTTCACTCTTCTAGCAGTGCTTGCCCCTGTACATCATATTTTTCCTGTTAGCAATAGTGTCATGTCAGTCATCTATCTAATTCCATTCCAAATGTATATAGTTACTTTGGGGCTCATACCCCAAAGCTTTCTACATCTGATCTCAACTATCATCTAACTCCTTACTCAAGAATAAGGAAGGACATTCAGAGAAAAAATGTTGAAATTTATAGGTCTATAACTTTTCCAAATTGCAACCCAGTAATTTTTCTATGAACATGATATTTACAAGAACATACTTTCCATGTAGTTTATACAATCTGTTGCAAAAATTTAACACTATTATCACATGAACACAATTATTCTATCATTTTTACAAGATTGTTTTATTTAAACAAATATTACATGATCTTTCAGATATCAAGGTTAACAGTTTCGATCATATGCAGAGCCATCACAACCTATCCAACACATCACTTTTTAAATATTAATAGTTCATCAGTTTTAATAAGTATTCATTGAGCATCCTCTCTTCCAGGAGGAGGTCAATGACTACTTTTGGTTTAATTACTTCAACTCTCTTCCACAACACTCCCATCTTCTTATCAGATTAGTGGTATGGCATTCAGATACGAAAATTACATAATACAAGGTTACTGGCCAGCACAAAATATGTTTTAAGTGGTTTTCCACAGTGCTGAGTTTAAATATTTGGTCTGTTTTTTGCAAAATTTGATTCGTTGATAGATTACCATTTTATATTCAGCTGTGGATAGCACAGTTTCTTAGAGTTAATATTAGGAAAAATTGCAATATCTTAAAAAATGTCAGATATTATATTTTCAATTGGGGTCTACTTGACCAATGAAATTGTGCCATTTTGTACCATCTGAGTATCGTGATAAACATGACAATGGTAGATTGCGATAAGCATGACAATGGTAGGATGAAATAACCAAACTCTTTGTATGGTTTTCATTTTGATGCTTGTTATATTGTAGTATTTGATTTATGTAACTATAAAAGTTATCTTACATAAGGGTTTATCACACTGAGTGATCAATCTAACATTTAAAAAAATTTTTTTTCCTGTACTGTACATAATTTAAAGAATTTTTTAAAATCTGTTAAATTGGGCACTTAGTAAATAAACTCTTATATAAGACCTTACATAAACTCTTATATAAATATAAGAGTTTATATAAGACCACTCCAATAAGTTTATATAAGATACATTCCATTTTATGATTTCAAATGCATTTCATGGGATATAGTATATTTTGAATGTTTAAGTAGTAATGTCAATATTTAAAAAAACTGTTCTTTGTTCTAATTATAAATAATATAATCTGATAATGAGACAAAAATGTGTTGAAAAACATGAAATCTTAATTAAAATATTCAGAAGCCTGAATATTTTAGCATTTTTATTGTTAACCATTATTTTAAAAGAAGCTGAGAAATGTTCAAATATATATCTGAACATTTCTCATTATGAAAATGTATGTTTGCATGCATGTATCATGCATGAGTAATGTATTACCTTGAATATCAAGATAATCTTCTGCTAATACAGGAGGTCCTCTATCAATAGGTTTTCCAGAACCATTGAATACACGACCTACAACAATCAAAAAATAATTATTTTTCAATTTTCATGACCTGCATATTGAGAATTAATTTAAATATTTCAAAATATATAAAAATTTCAAACCTAACATATCTTCTGATACAGGTGTACGTAAGATATCACCAGTAAATTCACATAGTGTGTGTTTGGCATCAATTCCAGACGTTCCTTCAAAAACCTATTTAGAGAATTTTAAAACTTAATATATTTGGGTAATCTAATATAAATCTATTTCAAGAATGGATTAATGTAAAAACAGAAAAATTATAGGCATTATTAATAAATTACTCCAAATAATTTAAAACTATTTAAAATCTGATTTCAAATATGTCTAGAAAATAAAAAATTTTACCTGAACAACAGCTTTAGACCCACTAACTTCCAAAACCTGTCCTGTTCTGTGAGTTCCATCATTCAACACTAAATTAACAATTTCGGCAAACTTTGGAAACTAAAGAGAAAATTTAATAATTGAGTTTTGATTATGAAATATTAAAAAATGTACAATATTGAAAACATTCTCAGATATGTAAATAATTTTTAAGATGTAGTAAAAATTATGTTCTGTATAGAATTGCTATATTATGTTTAATTCTTTGTATTTTTAATACTTTATAAAAATTATTTTCTGAAAATTTTTCAATATAAACAAAATATTCATTATTGTATATCTTAAGAATGTCTTCTAAATTAATTTAATAATGAGAATGAAGTATTATATAAAATCACCAAACTTGATATAGTTTCAATACAGACACAGTACTGAATTTTCAAATACAGACAGTTCCCGGGTTATGACATCTGTCTTATGCCAATCTGATCTTACATAGCTAATCATAATAAATCTGGTGACCCAAAGTTACAACTCAATGTCGGCATAGTGGGTGATGGTGACATAGGAATGGGACACAAACTGGAACTACTTTTTGTTATTGTTGTTTGGTGCAGCACAGAAATACAGCGAAATGAGTGAGAAAGACTATGTCAATTACCATTGTGGTACATTGCTAGCCTGTGCTTTCATTACATTAGTGTATAGTGCTTTGTATCTTTTTGCCCTTTATTATGGCTCCAAGCATATGGTTGACTCTACTGACAGCAATGTGTTGAAAAAAAGGAAAGCCATTACAATGGAAGTGAAATTAGACATAGTGACAAAGAATATTTGCAAAATAATTGTAAAAATCTTAAAATTTTAATATGCATACAGTATATATTTTGTAAAATATTAAGATTTTAAACTCTTTTAAAATTTCATAGCATAAACTTTGCTTATCACATTTTACAGAGAATTAATGGCAAATTAACACTGTAATTAAGATTGAAGATGAAATTTGTTAAATAAAATTTCCACTTTTTCATTCAAAGGTTTAAATAATTTTATGGATAGATGTGATTTACAAGAAAAATACATAGGCTATAGGAAATTCAGAATAAATAGTTTTTCCTAATGAAAATATATATTTTATTAGTATTGAAAA